GGGTTTAGGTGCACAAGTCCAGATCTCAGGCCTTCCAGTTGCTTGTCCCCTGAGCTGTGCCCTGTAGCCCGTGGCTCTGAACTTCTTGGCATGGTCAGGGTGCCATCTCCAGAAAGTCTGTCAAAATAGACCCTAGCAGGGAAAAAAAAAAGGGGGGGGGGGAAAGACAGAAAAAAAGGCTGGGTGGTTGTCCCTCCAACAGCTGAATACTCCTTTCGACAGTTGAAGTTCCTTCTCTTGTGCTCTGTGGTCTCCTGGCCAAATCCCACAGCGCCTGCTGGATTCCTTTTCAAACCAGTTTCCTCTCCATTCAGCCAGAGCTCCCTTTGGCAGCAGCCAGCAGGAACTGCCTCCCTCTCAGTCGGACTTAGGAGGGAATTTGCAGAAGGAAACAATCCGAGTGGTCGGGTAAGTGGAGAAAGCTCTTTAAAAGTCCCCAAGATGTCATACCCTGGCTCTGCGAGGTCACGTGCCATCCTCTGTTCCCTGCAAAGTTAAACATGTTCTAACATTATTTGCCAAGCTGGGGCCACTGCTGTGAAACTGTTCCTCTGGTTGTTATCGCAGGCGTGTGACGTGAGCATTGTTCGGGGCCTCTTGGCCTCGGCTCCTCAAACGGGTCCTTGAGAAAACCTGTTTTCTGGCAAACAGGAAGGCAAGTGCTGAGGGGCGTCTCACAGGCCAAGAGACAGCCTGTGCAGAGACCTGGCAAACCAGGAACCCGAGGCTGAACTCACCCCTGGGCGCTCCGAGTGCCGAAGTCACTGCTGGTCACGGGGTTGTCACTGGGGTTTGATTCAGGTGGCATCATGATGTGTCAACAAGGCAAAGATTGAGATTCACCAGGGAAAGTCAGGTAGGGGGATTGATGTTTTTACAGTAATGGCTTGAATAAAGCTCTTTGAATCTTGAGGAGGGAACAACCAACCAAAAAAACAGGAATTCAGTTGGCCTTCCACCAGTTTTGTGTGTTGGTGAGCTTGGATCTCCCCTCCTGCCCCGGCAGTATTCTGGTTTTGTGTTCAGCTTCATCCTGGCACCCAGCATGTGGTTTCCCAGCAGCAGCACACAGCAGGCACACCATGCCTTGAATTTCTTACTGAAGCACAGCAGAAGTTGAAAAATGGGAGCTTTCAAAGCAGAATTCCAGCACCGAGGAGTATTTATGGAGGGTCAGCTCACAGAAACAAGCTGTCTTGGTAGGACTGAGCAGCAGCCTGAGGAAGCAGCCTCAGGCTGGGACATGCCTGGGGTGTGTGTGAGCCACCTTCCCTGCTTTGTGGCAATTCCATGTGTCAAGGCACGAGTGCTCACAGAGGGGATGCAAAATGAGTTTTCTCAGGGCGCAGCAGTGATCCAGCAACCAAAGGCTCCCGGGTTTCTCCTGGCAACGTTTGGTCCTTTAAACTGTTCCTTCTTGCTTTCCCTCGGGGCCGTGCTGTGAGTGTTTTCATGCAGTTTGGTGCCAGTGAGCTTCACCCTCCTCCGCCTCTCTGCTGCGGATTCACAGGCCCTCCCAAAGCAGAGCTGGCAGGAATCCTCCCCCCGCCTGTGTGTGTCCAACACGTGCCTCTGTTTGGGTGATGACACGTGCCCGTGTTTGCTGGTGGTGATGTAGCTGCTTGGTTCTCCAAGAGGATCTGTGGAGAAGGAGTGGTGCTTGCACTTGCCTCACCTCCACTTCTGGGTGCTTTAGCCCAACCTGAACTATTTTAGTGCGACGATCGAGAGAAGCAGCAATTGCTCATATGATGTGTCACACCATAAACTTCAGGAAAGTAATTCATTCCAACAGTGTAATTCTAGGACTCAGGAACCAAAAATATGGGCTATTACTCATCTTTGTATCTCATAAAACAGAACAACCTAAACCATTTATCTGTTTACACAGCAGAGGTTTAGGGAAAAGCAAAGTGTTGAATGTCAAGAGCCACTGTTGCTACATACTCGGAGTGATTACTTGCTTTATCATTTATTTTTTTTATCTCTGTGCCAATATTGGCCAAGAATTCGAGTCAGGAGATAGGCATGATGCAGAAACAAAGAGCCCCTACTTGAAACTTGGGAGAGCGGAGCTGAATCACTGGCATGTCTTGAGTAGGCTGTGAGAGCTCGAATGTGTTTGTTTTATGATTACTCAACATGTACAGTATTTTCTCTGCTGAATGCTTTTTCCTTCTGCATGAATGAAGTTTCCATGTGCATGCACACACATCTACCCTGCACAGGAGGCCGTGTGTGTTAAATGTGTCGGGGCACATTTGGTCTTCACTTGCCTCGGTCTAACTCAGGATGAACTCGAAATCAGGGATATTTAGCTAAGTCAGCTCCAGAGTAACTGCCTGCAGAGTTTGATCCCTGGATCAAGAGGTTGCTGGAACAAATCTGTGTTTTCCACCTTTGTTAGCTGTGCTGGGGGGTTCTCTTGTACCTGATGCAGAGAGTCTTGAAGGGGGAAAGATAGCTCGGAGTCGGGGTGAGTCTGAAAGTAGCTTTGCTTGTCAGCTGGGATGGGTGGGGTGCCTGACGAAGTGTCTGTCAAAATCAAGGAGAAAATTTGTCCTTAAGGCATAGAAAGTTAATTCTTTGTGATGGTGAAAAGGTCCTCAAGTAGTCACATGGTTGGCTCTGTCTTCTGGGTTCAGATGGTTGCCCCGAACCAGCTGAGCTCAGCCTGGGCAGCAGATGTGGACATGTGTCATAATGTGCCTTTTTTTATTTTGATCCATGAATTGGGGGTGACTTACCAATATGAATAACAGGTTGTTGCTCCATATTGTTAACATTCCATGTTTTGTACCCCGTGGAAAATATTTTTTTAATGCTTTATTTTTGCAGAGATGGTGGTGTGCTGCCAGTGTACAGAGTGGTATTTCATGTTTCTGTAACCCATGAAATTGTCTGTCCTCACCAGAGTAACTTGTGTGGTTTGCTGTCAAAATAACCCTTGCCAGCCTCTGTGCTCTGTTTCATCTTATTAGATGAAATAATGTACTAATTTAAGTCTGTTTCCTTGGTGAATCCACCTGAGGGCTTCAAAAATGGTGAAGTTGAGCTCTGATTTACCTGCTGTTTTATCTGATGACTAAATGATCTTTCTTTAATATGACTAGTCAGGAATGTGGCTTCCAGGTGTTTGTGGTCCTGATGCTGCTCCGAGCTTCACCCAGGCAGTTGTCTGTGTGTGGTGTTCAGCCTTATCTCTTTATCAGGGGTTTGTTGTCAGAGTGATCTTTCCATAGCAGAAATGTATCCAGCTCATAACACGCTCAGCAATATTGGCTTCTGGCTCTTAGGACAGACTATGAAGCCCTAATTCCTGTAGTTTTACTCTTCAGTTCCTCTGCTGATAAAACTTGACTTTGATTCAAGGTGTTCACGTCAAAGGGTTGGGGTCTGTTTTTGTTGTCATGTTTCCAGACCGTGCTTTTTGTGGCTTTTGTTCTCGACAGGAAAACCAAAATGTTCGCTAATTTACCCTTTGCTTTGCTTGCAGAAAAAATAAAGGTAAGGCTAGTCAGAGAGGGAGCTGTTATGTCCTTGATGTGTGCTTGGCACTTTCTCAGGCTGGGAAGGAGGCCAGATAAATTATTCCAAACCTATCTCCCTATGGTAAAACCCACCAGGCTGCAGTGCTGTGGGTTGTCAGGATGTAGTTGGCCAGGGTGGGAGGAGAGTTTGCTGGGAGTAGTTGGTCTGTTGGCTGTGAGGAGGGATGTTGTGCAAGCTGGAGATAAAACCCAAGCCCCAGAGGCTTCTCTCTAAGTTGAGGGTAAATAAAACTGAAGTTTTCCCCATATTTGTTATTCCTGCTCATTGTAGGACTGCTAAGGTAATGCAGGAACTCCTCCAAGGCCAAATTCAGGCAGACAGCAAAGATCTGGGTGCAGCATCTTTGTGCCTCCCTCTGAGGAGGCAGATGTGGCATTTTCTTTTTGTTTTATTGGACCTGTACCCGTGCAAACAAGACTCCTTCACATCATGTAAAAGTCAGTATCCTGCAGGAATACCAGGCAGTGTTTCCCCCCTCTCCTGATGAACAGACAGCTGTCACTTGGGTGACAACAGGCAGAGCTCCGAGGAAATGAGGAGCCCAGGAGGAGGATTTTGTAGTGCCTTTTGTTGCTGAGCCTGGCAAAAGCTGTTCAGGTTTTTTTCTGGTGCAAATGACCTGGAAGATGACCTGCAGCACCCAATTGAAATAAGAAATCTCAATGAATAAATATCTATCTATAAACACCTTCCACTGGACCAGGTTGCTCCAACCTGCCCTTGGACACTTCCAGGGATGGGGCAACCACAGCTTGCCTGGGCAACCTGTGCCAGGGCCTCCCCACCCTCACAGGGAAGAGTTTCTTCCTAATCTCTAATTTGAATTTACACTCTCAGTCTGAAGCCATTCCCCCTTGCTCTTGTCCAAAGTCCCTCTCCAGCTCTCTTGAGAGAGAGAGAGAAAAAGAGGGAAAAAGAAACGTGCCATGAGAGTGGTTACCAAAATTATTTTGTTTTTCATAGTATGTTTTTCTCCTGCCTAATCATGCAAAGCTAATGCTTGACTATAGTCTAAGAAAATTGTCATGGAAGCACATCATCTCAAGTTGCGTATTCAAAGCCAGGAGAAGCTAAAAATGGCACTTAAAACCTGTAAACACCAGCCTGGAGGCTTTCTGAGTAAACAGCTAAAAGAAATGCCCAGTGTTTGGTGTGCAAAGTGCTTGTGTGTAGATAGTGGGATTGTTTCCTCTGCTTTGTTACTTGTTTCCTTGCTGTAATTTTTGACTGTCACTGCACAAGGAAATAAAGAAAGGTCTGGTCAGTGGGGTTGGAAAAACATCTCTCTCTCTGACCTGTGCAGTTGTGCTTGAAACCGTGGTGTGTCAGCCGAGATGGACATCCTTTAAATTTCATTATTTTGAGGTTGTTTATACAAGGTTAAAGGAATAAATCACCCATGTGACTGCTAACAGCCCCCCCACCCCCCTGTTTTTTTTTTCCCTTAGGTGGCAGTGAAAGTCATTGACAAGAAAAGAGCCAAAAAGGACACCTATGTCACCAAGAACCTGCGACGGGAAGGGCAGATCCAGCAGATGATCCGCCACCCAAACATTGCTCAGCTGCTGGATATCCTGGAGACCGAAAACAGCTACTACCTTGTCATGGAGCTGTGCCCTGGGGGCAACTTGATGCACAAGATCTACGAGAAGAAGAGGCTCGAGGAGCACGAGGCGCGCAAATACATCCGCCAGCTCATCCTGGCGGTGGAACATCTCCACCGGGCAGGGGTGGTCCACAGGTAACCCTAAAGACCCTCCCTGGTGAAGTTTATATCAGGGAGCGGTATTTTGGCCTTTTTTTTGTGTGTTGTAAGGAGACTTCCTCATACAAACATATTCTTGAGAGCTTTTTGGCTGCTTTTCATGGGGTTGTTTAGATGCTTGTGTTTTAGACACGGGAAGGTATCTGCAGAAAGCACCTTAGCAAGTGTGTGGCTTCAAGTGGGCACAGAGGAGACCTGCTGACTCCACGTCCAGGAGATGATCCTTGTGGGTCCCTTCCAGCTCAGGATATTCTGTGGTTCTGTGTCCATAGAGATAACCTGTGCACCCCAAAAGTAAAGGCCCTTTCCCTGCAAGCACTTGTTTTGCCTCTTCAGAGCTCTGGACCAGCGTGAGCTGGTGAATCATTTTGCTGTTTCTTTGAGAAGGTGGTTGTGGCTGTTGTTTTCCTGGTGGAAATACAGCGGTGTGGGGAGTTGGAAGATCATCTGGGCTCCAGGGGAAAGAGGACTCATCCAGGAGGAGCCTGTGGAGGGCTCATGAGTCAGGAGTAGCTGCCTCTGAAGTTCCTGAGCAAGCAGCAAGTGGAAGAGGCTGGGAGAGTGCAGGTGCAGGTATCACACGTGGTGCCTTTCTCCACTTAGTGCTCTTGGCTGCTATGGAGACAGGAGGGTGGTGGGCTGGATGGACCTTTGGTCCGAGCCAGTATATCTCCTCTCCTGTTCTTAGGTGTATTTATAGGGCACTGTGCTAAGAAGGAGGCTCTGCTTTCTAAATTTGGGCCAGCTGGTGTTAAGTCTAGACTCCCACACAGTTCCCATATGATGCTGAGCAAGTTGTGTAGGCCCCATCCTCTTAGGTTATGTAGGCAGGTTGTAGGAGCCAGACATCTGAATGCTTTTGAGGATTTGGGTCTTCATTTCCTTGGCTTTGCTGGCTGTGTGGAGGATGGAGGGCTGTGCCCAGGGCCACTGTGCAGGCAGCTCCTCCAGCTGTGCCCAGCTGTGTGCTGAGCTGTGCAGTGTGGGTGCATCTGGCTTGGTGGAACTTCATGTGCTCTGAAACCTGCTTTTTTTTTGTCTGGAGTCTTTGTCTATATTCCCTGTGATCCATCAGGGATAAGGTGCTATGTGCACATGTGAGCCCAGGAGTGCTGAAGTCTTATCTCGAGCTAAATTTCAGGTACCACTGTAACATAAATATTTGAGCAGCCACCAGGTCCATTCTGCAGGTTGTCTATGAGCCACAAAACTGCTGATCTCTTTAAATTACTAACCCCAGAGTTTGGGGCATGGACAAGGAAGGAAGTCTGTTTATTGCTTTAAGGGATCAATTGCTATCTGGTATTGAGAGAGAGAGATGAAGGAAACGAAGTTTCTGAGATGAGCAGAGGAAAACGCGTCAGGAGCAGATGAACGTGTTCAGCTTTTAACAGCAGGACTGAGTTCAGCAACAGCAGTTCCTCTCCCTGAAAAATTTGTAGTGGCCAAGGCACTTAAAGGGGGTTGGTAGGCTTGGCTTTGATTCCTTTCTCTTTCAGAGAGGATTCAAACCCACATTTTGTACAAAAATAGCTTGTTCCCTAAGTACAGGCTGGAATCAACAGGCTGTTGTGGTGGGAAGGAAGGCAAGGCTTTGGGGCCCGAGGAGCCCGAGTTCCCATGCGGATGCTGCAGGTTTGGCCCTCACCCCTTCCCTCCCTGCTGTCTCTGAACATCAGCACAGCTCCCAGACCCTGGAGGGTGAGGGATATGAGTGAGCTGGGGGAGGAAGCAGCTCTGAGAGCTCTGCCATGCTCTGCTGTGTCTGGCAGCTGAGCTCTGCCCGCCCAGCCCTGTGGCATTGAATTAATCTTGCCCCAAAGGCAGCCACTCCATCCACTCTGGTTCTCATCTCACAGCACAGAGATGCTTCTTGGGAGCCTTCCACACGGTGAATGAGCAGGTCTAATTCTGCCTAAACTGATAAAATTTGACAGAATCATAGGCAATGTATCTGCAAGTATTTTCTCTGGTTTAACCCATTCAATGTCTTGACCTGTTCTGCAAACCAAGCATGTAGAGCAGTGTAGAGACGCAGGAAAAGCTCTGGTGGCATGATCCAGATTTATTCTCCTGGCTCTCTGCGAGCAAGAGAGGGAGAAAGAATAATAATTACCCCGGGAGTTGTCCTTCAGCATCTCAGGCTTCCGACTGTGGCAGCTCTAAAAACAAACCACTCAACCGGCTACTGAAGAGTGGGGGGGAAAAAAAACAGTGATTCATTCTGTCCCTGGATGAAATGGCAGTGTTGTTGTTGATATTTTTAAAGCAGGTAAAAATACCAACACTTTCATGTGCTTGGTGATCTGTGGGTGTTTGCATTCGCTGCGTGGGGAACAAACCTGGGCCAGAACTCGAGGCTGGTGTTTGTCTCTCCATATGATTTCACCATTCACATTTTCACACTGAAAAGTGTTCCCTGGCTGTTCTGTTGCGAAAAAGTCATTAGGTTTGTCTGCATGATTCAGGGAATAATAGAGACAACTTACCATGTTCTATAACTTAGGATGGAAAAAACACCCAGATGAAATAAGTTGCATATAATTTGCTTACATTATTCCATGAATATTACTCAGAAAGCTTCATGGCTTGCAGTCTTGGCATGGCAGAAAAGCACTCTGATCTCTGGTCTTTGGAGAAGTCCAGGGATCCAGAATTCAGTGGAAATGCTTCTGTTAAGAGGCACTGATGTGCGAAAAGCCTAAAATTAAAGAACTTTAGGAAACCTCATTTTATTTAGAAATGTAAAAGTACCTCAAAACTCATGTTTGGCCATACAGATGTGTTTAAAATTATAAATATTCATGTGCTAAGATGGATGAAGAAGTTCCCGAGTGCAGAAGCTGCATCTTTGGTGAGGGCTGTCCAGGGCTGAGAACTCTTTGGCTGCTTGCTGAAAGCAAAATGCCACAAGTCTATATATAATTTCATGTAATCATTTGTGTTTCGTTCCCTCTATCAGGAGGGTTGGCTGGTTGCTAAAAATATACTTGCAACAAGCTCAGCTGTGAATCAGGTAGGAATATTTATCTTTCCCTCTGACAGAGGAAAACAAACCCAAATGGCAGGATCTGGTAAAGCTTTCTCTTGGCAGAGGGTGTTTACACAGCCCTTCACGCTGTCAAAAAGCAGGATGAACAATAAGCCCTTAGGGAGCATAAGGACAGCAGAGAAAACGAAGTGAAAGCCTTGGTGCTTGCCATTGCATCCCACAGGAAATTCTCAACAACCCTTTTAAAGTCACTTTAACAAAACTCAATCCCATTCAGTGCAATTACTGTCAGGATGTCAAAGAAAGGAATTTAATGATGTATTGGTGGCAAAGATAGCTTTCTGTGTTCCCCCTTTTTTCTGTCCTCCTGGCAGCATATTTGTACCTTCCACTGCCATTTGGTGATTAAAAGCAGATCAGGAGTTTGGAAGACACAAAAAAGGCCCTGAGGTTTTGAGCAGAGTAAGGTGATGCCATACAATCCAGATGCTCAGGGTGGCACAGAATTCCTGCTCTGGTACCTGCTCCTTTGACATGTTGGCTTTGATAACTTCCATCCTATTAATTTTAAGTGCCAGATGCTGATGCAATATTTATGACAGATCCTGCACCACAGAACAAACTCCTCTTTTGAAGTGCAGAGCTGGTTTCTCTTTCTATTTTCTGTCAGATTTCAAAATTACCTTGGGGCATTCTCTTGGAGTGCTCTGATGTAAACAAACTAAACATCATTTTAGTGAAGACAATAGACTGAATCCCTGTTTTACAGAGGCAGACACATGGAATTCAGGAATGTTACTGACAGAAGAATGGGTTCAATAAGTGGTATTTTGATAACAAACCCTTTGAAATGTATATTGACATATAAATGTGATGATGAACCCAAATCTCACCTCTGGCTCCTGCACAGGGCTGCAGAATGGGCTTGTGGGTTGGTAGTTAAGGAGTGATTTTTTTTTTCTTTTTTTTTTTTGTGGTGCTGTTGTGATTAAAAATAAGATGCAGGAGACAGCAGCCAACAACTTCTGCTTTGCAGCTGCTTTGCTGGTAAAACCTTCCTTCTCATCCTTCCTCCCCCAGACAAGAAATAAAGTGTGAAATGTAAAACTCCCATTTGCAGCCTGCTGCCTGCCATGGCATGGAATATAAACTGCTTTTGGGAGTACACTTGTGTTCCTCACTGGAGGCACTGACTGGAGTTGAGGTTTCCAAAGTGGTCTGAGAAGCTCTAAGCAAAGTCAGGGATGAATCAGCCCCATCAACAAACTCCCAAATGAACTTATCCCATAAAGATGGTGTATTTTCAGACCCAGGGAATGTTACCTCTTTGCTGCCAGCTTCACAGGCTGCAAAGGCATAAATATCTGCTGATTCTCCACACTGTGGGAACACCTTGAGTGTCTTCATTATTCCTAGATTTCACTAACTTGTGCCATAGTGAGACATTCTCAGCATCGTGGAACTAACCCCTCAGGAAAAGGTAACATTTTTTGGTCCTTTCATATTTAATTACTGAGGGTATTTTTAAGTTTTTCAGCAATGAATGCTGAAAGTTTGCTTAAGGGGGAAAACAAATAAATAATCCTTTAGTCTTGTTTTTTTTGAGGAGCTGTGACAGCAAGGAACAAGATCAGATTTACTTCAAGGAGGGAACTTGAAAGTGTCCAGAGTTGCTGCTTTGTTTGGATGTTAACATGATCTCATTGCAATGGACAAACTCCCAAAAGTGGAGCCCTGAATTTCAGGCCCTGTATTACAAAGGGTTTAAAAAATAAAAGCAAACTAAGACAGCCAATGAAGGGTCTGGAGCACAAGTCTTATGAGCAACTCAGTTAAGCCTCTCTTTGTAAAAGATAAATAAAATTTTCTCTTTAGGTTGTATCAAGGAGTAAAAGCCTCCTGTCCTGGCTCCCAATGTCACTCCAAAAAACAGTACTTTCATATTGGGATTGACAAAAAATGTGGGGCATATGGACTATTAGATCAGTTACCACTCACTGGCAAATCTTCTGAGAATAGACAGATGGGTAAACATCTTTAACCAGGGCTGGCTGCACTCTCTACCGGGCTGATATTTACATTGCTATTTTTTCCTCTAATAGCTTTAAAATGCCCTGTAATATTTACCTTTTTTTTTTTTTTTTAATAACCTTGAATGCTTTTTTGAATATCTTGTCTTGTGTTCCTGGCTAGTTGTCCTGTCTCTCAGTTGTTACTCTGATCGCCTGCATGTCTTTTCTCCTCAACTTACAGCTTTCATCTTTCCATTCCCTTGCCTTTAAAGTCTTCTTGGCTGATGTTTAATATACTCAGAGCTTCCAAATGGTCTTTCTCCTTGCTTGTGTGACCCAAAGCTCCACATGCTTCTCTTGATTTCAGTTTAAGTTTGGAGAAGGTCCTTGTGGTCACGCTGGTAAAGTGAGTGTCATCCTACCTGCAAGTCCTCTTCTGCCTCAGTTTTATTTGAAACACAGCATGAGCATGAAATGCAGTGGAGAGGAGCAGTTCAGGAAAGGCTTGGAGTAGGTCATGGCTATTTTTCTTTCCTTCACAGATCCCTCCTTGTGGAAGTACTTAGCTGGGCTTGGTTGGTTTACTTGTCTGATTTTATTAAGCCTTATATCTTCATCTGGAGTACAGGCATCCTTCATCACTCCCTTTGCCTCACAGAGGCAAAATACCATGGATGTCACTGACTTTCCATCATTACAGCTGATGGCTTTATCATCCAGGTTTTTCCAGTGCATTCTGGGAGAAGCATCACTGCTGTGGATATCTCAGAAACATTTCACGTCTGGGAGGGGGAAAAACTCTTGTGACGGAGATATAGACTCTGTTTTTACCAGTACCATGTGCTGACCACCCCTGTGAAGAGTTTGGATGCTTCACCCTCAGAGCAGGTTGATTCTTCTCTCCCATGTAGGCAACAGCAAGGGACAGACATTTGACCCCCCACATCCCTGCAGGGGAAGGTTCATTCCTTCCAGTGGCCTTTGGTTGTGAAGAGCAAGGAGAAAGTGACCTCCCATTCCAAAAACACGTGTTTGAAATGTTTCCAGTTTGTGCGGTTTCTGCAAACTTTCTCAGTGTGTGAGAAATCTGAAGAGCCTGCTTAATTGCAGGATGTACTGACAAATGTTTCTAAATGTTTCTAAAGTCGTTTTTGTGCCTGAAGAATAGGTGTGAAGCCGTGTGTGAAAGCTCTGTTAATTCTGGAAAGGGTGCACGGGGCTTTCTGCTTTGAATGTGGAACTGTGTGTGCTGCTTTCATTATGCAAGTTATTATACATGAGCCTTGTAAATACACTGATGAGAGCGAGGGAAAGCTGCTTCATTATTTTGGAGACTCACTCAAAATATTTTCTTTCTTTCAGAGACTTGAAGATAGAAAATCTGTTGCTGGATGAAGACAACAATATCAAGCTCATTGGTATGAAACCACTTTGGCAATTCCAGTAATTAAAATTGTTAGTTTTATAAAGAGAGGGTTTTTTGAGACTTCATAATCCTCCATGTGACAATTGCTAATGTTGCTGCAGAGAGGAGCTGGGAGAGTATAGATAGCAATCAAGCTGTTCCTGACAGCATCTCCTGAAAAAAATGATCCAAATAATTCAGCTTTAACTGGGTATGGGCATAATCTTGCATCTTTAAACCACTGCTTTCATATTCAGCTTGGGAACTTTGTAGAGAATTCAAGAATTGACACCACAGAAGTAATTTATTTTATTATCCTGATCATTTCATATTTGCTAAGGGCTGGATCCTGCCCCCATATGCATATGCTTCCTCTGAAGTCAGTGGGAGTTGAGCACATTTTTAGCAGCTGGCAAAATTCGGTCCTATATTTATATTTGTTAAATTTGCTTCCAGCACCCAGTGCGAAATTGGTTTGGAGGGCTGTTAAAAAATAAAAAAGATCAGCGATAGAGTCTTGGTTTGTGTTTAGGTATCAGCTGTACGTGGGGCTCGATTCATTCAAGCTGTGCAGACATTTTAGATTAATCATTGGTGGGTACAGTCTCTCACTGCCTTGCATAACTCCCATTAATGTTAATGTGGGCATTGAAAAGAAAATCTTCCCTTCATAAAATAAGCGCCCAACATCTGTTTATATTTATTTCCATGCCTACACTTTTGCCTGCAGCAAAGTCTGTGGCTGCAGACTTCAAAACTCAACTCACTTCCTTCAAAAGGTTTCATGGACTGAAAAGTGATGAAAAACACTTGGCATTCGGGTCAAGTGGACACTCACTGATATGTAAAGCACATGCATCTCCAGACAAACGAGAGGAGGATAGTTGATGAAATCTGAAATATTCAAATTTTACTGGGAGAATTCGGTTTTTGAAAATGCTGCTCTGACTTTCAGTGATTATCCTGTAGCGAATCAGCCGAATCTGGGAAAATAACAGCAGAGAGAACTCTGCATTACCTCAGCCATGGGTCAAGAGGAGACTGAGATGTTGCCATGAATCATTCACCAGTAATGGTGGATACCACCCATTATCTTGATTTAGCAGATAAGTGAGACCAGATGGCTTGCAACAGTGCTGTGTGAGCATCTGATGGATTTAAAGAACTTCTGCAGCTTCCCTGTTATTGGGTGTTTGGTTACACAACAATATGTGAACTTGACATCCAGAGCAAGACCTAATCAGATGATACGTGCACAATTAAAACTCCTGTGCCAAAAAGAATGTACTTCACAACTGTTCCTGCAGTTTCATTGGCTTTAGTTGCATGGAAAGGTCTCCCTGCAGTGGGTGGTGTGGGAAGAATAGAGAAAAGAGACAGTTTGATCTTCTGTGGCCTCGCTGGAGTTGAAATAGATTGTCCTCAGGTCTGCAGCCTGATGTTTTTAAGCAAAGCAGATTGCACACAGTATGTATTTTAAAACAAAGCAATTAAATCCCACCATCCAACTGGGTATGTTGTAGCAAAACAAAGGTAGTAGTAAATCTGCTGTAAGTAAAACCAGATTTAACACCGCAGCCAGCTTGTGCTGTATCTCACCAGCAACGCTGGTTCTTGTAATAGCTGTGAAATGAAGAAAACTCACTATAAAGAGAGAAGAAAAGGTGAAATGAAGGTTTGAAAGGTGCCAGGGGGTGACATTCAAAGTCCCTGCTTTTTCATGCGTTTCAGTGGGAACTGAATGCCTCGAGTCCCTTTCTTCACCCAGCTGCTCAATGGCACCTGGATTTTGTTACTCCTTTTAGCTGTGTGACAAGGTGGTTTATGATGTGCTCTTACATATTCTTCTTAGAAAAGTTCCCTTTAAGAGGACTTATTCTTAGCAGTCTGTTAATCAGACTGAAGAACATCAAGACTGGGAATGCTGGAAATGATTCACTTCTCTTCATCTCCCACCCCAGGCTGTGAAAAGGCACTCGCAGGCCACGCGAAGTCCTTGGTGTCCTGCTGGGGCACCTGTGACACTCAGCTCTGCTGGTCCAGCTTGTCCAGGAGCTTCTGTCTAACAGCTCTTTCCCTGTTCTGGCTGCCACAGCTCCAGAGATGGCTGTATACCCATGGATTACTGCTGATTTCCTGGAGGCGTTGCAGAGGAGTCGTGCGACGCGATACTCCGATAGCACGAACAGTGGGGGCGGGGGAGTTTCCATGTCATAATATTTACTTTGGAAAACCAAGGGTGGCCTTTGATCTGAATTCTGTAATTAGCTGGGCTTATTGAAAGGGAGCCCAAGGCAGAGGCAGGAATGGCAGTGGAATTACCAACGCTGGTGGTCACACCGTCCTTAGCAAGCTCAGCAGCGCATCCTCAATAAAAACCACACTGTGCTCACGATGTGCTGCCACAGTGTTAATAACAATATTCTCATTTCCAGGGCTATGAAATCCCTGTCCTCAAGATGCATTTGTTTGCACACATTCTGCATTTCAGCAGGCACTAGGGGGAAAAAAAGGTATGGCAGCTCAGATGAATGAGCTGTAGAGAGTGAATAAGATGTTTATAATTGAAGAGAAGGTGTTTATAAAAGAAGAGAATGAAAACCTCCACTGCCACTGATGAAGAGATGCTGATTTACACCATTTCAGAATGCAGCCCTTATGTACTTTGATTGCAAGACATTATAGTATAGAGAAGTAATTTGGAGGGGGTATGACGCTCTAGGGTAAAGACCAGCAATGGTGCTGTGTGGAGATATCATTTCTAGGAGTCTTTAAATGTATTTTACAGTTGACATAACTCATCTCGGGCCACAGCTAATGAATATGTTAATTAAGTTAATGGAGCCTCGGTAGTATTTGTAAAAGCCCCAGGGATAATACACATCTAACAGGGATGATTAAGCAGTGTCCAGGGACAATTGTTTTCCATCAGAGGCAAGGAAATTGTCTTGATTCCCCCTTCAGTGTTGACAGTGTTCTCCAGGAAAGCCCCCTTGAGCCTCTTTACATGTGAAATATGGTGATTCCTGTGTTCCCTGTGCTTGTCTGGCTCTCAGAGATGCAGCCAGTCGAGTGGAAAGTGCTGTGCCATCATTTGGGCACTCCAGCTCACACAGGCAGCCTGATAATTGCCTTTTTTTTTTTTTGGTAAGCATTTTTATATTTTTGCCTGGTTTTGTAAGGGAATAAGGCTTATGTGTCTTCCCTTTAATACCTTGAGGATTCCTGGCTGATTTCCCCTTCTCTGCCAGCTCTCCTAATTGCTTTCTCCCAAGCCAACCATGGCTACCCTTGGACAGGGTGGGTTTGCCCTCCCCTGGCTGCACGTTGCCACCATCCACATCTGCCACCAGTGTGACCTTGCCTTCCTTTCCTTGCTTAGTGGTTTAATTTTTAAGATCCTTCCCTAAGCCCAGCTCAGCCTGCAGAGCAGACAAGGGGAGATTTTGGGAACACCCTTCCTGGCGCCAGCCTGATCTTGGGCTGCCTGAGAGCACTTGGGAAGCCTCAGCCTCCTCCTGCTGAGAGGCTCCCTCTGGTCTCCGGTGCCAGCCTGTGCCAGTCCCTTGTTGTTACTGCCAGCAAAAGAGTGGCAGATACTCCCAGAAATGCAACAATTCAAGGCAGAAGTCAGGGAGGGGGCAGCCAAGTCAAGACATTCCCCTTCTTGCTCCAGGACCTCCCTGTTATCTCAGAGCTGGAGCGCTGCCTCTCCACCCCTCTGAGCTTGTGCATTGCCCAGAAAGTCATCCCCCCCCTTGCATCTGATGGCTCATGGACACGATTTAGAGGGAATGTTGAGGGAGTCCCACTTAAAGTTGCCCTCTCCATAACATCCTGCAGCAGTGTGGAAGCCACAGCAGCCCTTGGTGGCCTCTCAGTGCCTGGGCCGAGCTCAACTCTGGCTGTTGCCATCCAGTTCCCAGTGAAATGGAGTTGCTTTATGTCTGAAGTTGATGATTGTGGATATTCTAAGACTTTTTTTTATTGTTTGTGGAAATCTCTGGTTATTTAGCACCTTGTAGAAACCAATTACATGAAATTTTTGCATGTGGATGAATTTTTTTTTCCCTCGGGCAGTCCATTGCTTGGCTTTCGGAAAGAAAAAATGTTCTTTCTTTTTCACTTGTGTTCTAGGGCGGTCTGACTGTGTCTGTCTTTCATAACTCTGTCTCTCTGCCTTTCACAGACTTTGGATTGAGCAACTGTGCAGGCATCCTGGGTTATTCTGATCCCTTCAGCACCCAGTGTGGGAGCCCAGCATATGCAGCCCCTGAACTTCTGGCAAGGAAGAAATACGGGCCCAAAATAGACGTTTGGTCCATGTGAGTTACTTCTTTACTTTATAGTTGTCAGTTCAATTGACACCTTCAACTCCATCAGGGTGCTCAGAGCCCCATCCAACCTCACCTTGAGTGTTTCCAGAGGTGGGGCATCAATAACGTAATAGTGTCAGGCCTTAAAGATGAAGTACAGTCTCTAAACACTAAGAATAAGGTTTTTTTCGTTGTTCCTGATCACTTTGGTTTCCTTTTCTCCCTGTTTTCTCCTAGTGGGGTGAACATGTATGCCATGTTGACTGGAACGCTGCCCTTTACCGTGGAGCCGTTCAGCTTGAGAGCCTTATACCAGAAGATGGTGGACAAAGAGATGAACCCTTTTCCCACCCAGCTCTCTTCAGGTAATCAAAGGAGTGTGTGGGACCTAGTCAGATCCAGCTGGTCAGAGACATTGCATGGAATGATCGTGGCTCCTGCTGCCAGTGTGTTATGCTAATTGGGAAAAACACTTCCTTTCATTTTAGCCTGCGAAAGAAGTGCAGGAGTTGCTGTAGCAGAACTCGTTTTGCTCTGACTTCTGTGTGTCAGCTGAAGAAACACCGAGTTGTGCTGAGTGTGAGAGAAGGGACAAACCTGTGGAATTCTGTGAAACTGCTTTTGTAGAGTAGTTGGTCAGTTTTGCACTCTCAGATTTTAGTGTATGGATGGACAAACAGATTATTTTGGAGTAACAGATTCCTAGGCATTATCATGACTAGGTTTGAGTGATAAACTGCCTCAAATGACCTCACATTAATTATGGAGTAGTAATGACATGCGCTCAGAAGCTATTTTGGGACAGTGACCTGGGACAACCTTTATGTGTTCACAAAATGCAAAATTGTTGATGTATTAGTATTAGGAATATTAATTCCTGCTTCAGAGCCGTGTCACTAGGCAACAGAATCATTTTTCAGCTTGTAGCAAGACCACTGTCAGCATTTGGAACGAGCTCTGTTTGGCAGTTGGGTTTTATTTTTGTGTGCCAAATTGGTGGTTCGTGGAGAGCTTCTGTCTCCTTCTCTGGCAGTCTGTTTGCAAAGGACGTTCAGTAAAATGAAAAGATTGCAAGAGCAGAAAGGGCAGCTGAGGAAGGAAACCATTGTTACAGGGTGTGAGAGAAAGCCCTTGGGAGTCGTGTCACGAGATGAATTCTCCAAGCACAGATTTACCTGTGGAAGAAGTGGGTAGGGAAGTGTTTTGTCACCTGGGTTTTATCCCTGCATAACCTGTTGTTCCTTGTTCACTCAGCTCCTGTATGAAGGACCCTTTTCCTGCCAGCAGTTCATATTGTGGCATGTTGTAAAGTGGAGGGTTTACAAGTGAGCTGGGATGCTGCAGGTTTCTGTTTGGGGTTTTTGTTTGTTTTCTGTTTGGTTTTGTTTGGTTGTTTTTTGTTGGTGTTGGTTTTGTTTGGTTGCTTTTTGCTGTCTGTTTGACACAGTTAGGGTGTTTGGAATTTCCACTCCGGACACTTCCCGTTAGGATTCAGTTGCACAAAATGGCTGTTTTAATGCTCTAGCACATGCTTTAAAGCCCCACTGAGTAAATTAAAAGAAAGATTACACTGACTGCTTCCTGCTGCACTTGTCTAGATGCCAAGTCCCACATCATTTGCAAAATTACCTTTGAATTCAGGGACTTGCATGGCATAGTCAACATTTTCCAAGTTTGGCAAAAAAATTACCTCCTAGACTGAGGTAAATTATTTTACCAATAAAGAGCAGTTACATGATGGCTGTGGAGTGTCTTTGAACCAATGGACTGTTCTCCCAATCATTGTTTTCTTCCCATTCTCTTTTAAGTGGGACATTTCACTGACTTCACTGGGACAACTCAAGGCTGAACCACCCAGGAAAAGGCCTGTGGAAGGCAAGCAGTTGGTAGCAAAAAAGATAACATTACTTTTGACAGGCTTCATTTTACTGTTTCATTCACCCTCCCATTTTTAATGGACGTGAGATTTTCTCACCAGTGCCTCTCTGTAGCATTTGTGGAGCTCACTGGACACTGGTCTCCAGGGAAAGCAGTATTTTGTTTATCCTGTGAGAACTTGGAGAGATGATGGCAAATTAATGGACTAGATTTAAGCATGTTAACCTTTCCTCACTGGGAACAAAGGTACACATCAGTTCCTGATCTGAGCCAGTGGCCTCGCACGTTCACTGACATGGCACACTCTGATTTAAGATGACATTTGTTCCTGCCACCATTAAGATTTGGGTCAGTGGGTAGAAACTCTGCTCCTCTGCTCTGTGAATTGTAGTGGTCGTTAACCTCTTGGGTTTATGGACCTTTTGCTTTAATCAGGTTTTATTTTTCCATAAAATTCATATACAGAGAGTTGTTTCAGGAGTCTGTTTGGCTTGTTCAGTACATCGTCTCTCAATGTTTCTTTTCACAGTTACTGAACATGCAGACCCATCATGTAATAGTCAGTCTTATCACTAAGCAATAAAACACTTTTTTGTGTAAGTTAGAGTATTGGGTGACCGTGAGCACCCAAAGCAACCTGTGTAGCAACAAGGGAAGTTTGGAGTTACTGTTTGGTTTTTCCCACTTAGGAAACCATTTTTCATTTAAGCTTCCTCAACAACACAGCCACCTGGTTACTGATTTTAGGTGAGCAGAGGTCAGTTACTCAGGAGGTTGGTATTCACCCTGCACACATTCCTTTCCTTCCCTCTTCCGTATGCTCATGTTCTTCCTTCTGGAACAGAGGAATTAAGTGGAGATGAGAAGAAAAGCCGTTGTTTATTCATGCCCGTGGTTTGGAGGAAGGATTTCATTAGGTGGGGCTTGTGGAATGACCTTGCTGCATTTTCTCCGGAGATATTTTTAGGCCATACCTGCATACCCAGTTACAACCAGGCACAGCCTCCCAGAGGGAACGAGACACTGAGCTGGTTTCACTCATGACAGGGAACATGTTTGCTCATGTTTGCTCCCTGGGGCACTAATTTCATTCCACAGCTGTGTGGCTGACCTGGGAAAGGCTTCTCTCCTCCTGGTACCATCTGACAGCTCAAATCAGCCAAATCCAGCATGGTTACTCATCTCCACCGTGTTTCCTGGGTCCAGGGAGCCTCCAGGGGGAATCTTCTCTCCAGAATTAGTTTCTCCCAGTCTGAATCTGTTATCTGTGGTGCTTCACAAGCTTCATTTAATTAGCCTGCCTGTTGGCAGGGGTGGGAGTGGTGGTGAAGTAAGACGTTTAAGGAGAGATCAGGTGATTTGGGGGCTGAGTGTGATGATGGTGAAGGAGGAGAGTGTTGGCTTGGGAAGGGGTGATTTGTTTTGCTCTGAGCCCATGGGATGTGTGTGGTTTCTAACACAGAGATAAGGGAACTACTGGAGCGAGAGGAGATGAAGTGGAAGAACAAGGGGTTTGTTGTTTGCTGTAATGGGGATTTCCGTGCCCAGGAGGATGAGGAGGGGGCACTCCCTGGGCACGCAGGGAACAGCTTCCAACAAGTTTATGAACTTGGATGTAGACTTTTCCTGCTGCTTTTCTGCCACATTGTTGTTGTAGGAAAATAGCAGAAATGTTGAGTAGTATTCGAATGCCCCTGAAAGCTGAAGGTTCAGCACCCGAAACCAAAATGAAAATGAATTTTGCTGTACTGTTTTAATTGGGCTAAAACCTTCTGCAACTGATTGTGGGCTGGATGGAAGCCAGGAGAGAATTTCTCCTCATAATGTCAAAGGGAGCCAAATTTGCCATGTCTTCCTTCCCAGCTCTGCATCCTTTCCCTTCCCCTCCACTCCCCCCGGTCCATCTCCTCCTGCTTTAAACACAGTGATTTCTCTCTGACCTTGCTCCAGCCTCTTGCTTTCACGAGGAAATCAAGTGTTGTCTCACCTGCTCTGAAACTTCAAACGAGCTCTGAGACAAAAAACCTCTTTTTCTCCTCTCCTTTATGACTCCATAAATCATTGTGACTATAAATCACTGTTTATTTTACTTAGTAATCCCTTATCAGTACTTCCATTTTCCCAAGGACATCAGAGCACACCGTAAGGAAAACATTGCTTTTTAGTACACTCTTGGCCAGGCTACCCACCTGTAGTAACTGCACTACTGTGTAAGTCATAAAGCGGATGGCATAGCTATTGTTTGGGGTTCTTCCTTGCTTTCTTCACAGCTGCCATAAACTTCCTACGATCTCTGCTGGAGCCAGACCCTGCAAAGAGACCAAACATCCAGCAGGCCCTGGCAAATCGATGGCTCAACGAGAATTACCCCGGAAGAGCACCACCAAATGTCACCTATCCAAACAGGTACTGCCTGGAAGGGAGGAGAAAGCCTGCCAGGGTGTCTGTAAATCATGTGTGTGAAAATGTGAACGGCTCTGGAGCTTCAGTTCCACTCCTGTGACACCATCCCAGTGCTTTTTCTGGGATTGCTTTTGTGACTCCATCATGAAAGTTGTTAGGATTGAGTAAAGTGTTGCTTGGAATGGTCAAAAGCAATACCTTAAATTAGAAGCTGGCATACAGTGTATTATTTGCAGGGTGGTCTGGGATGCAGATCATGGGATTAATTGGCTCCAGACTTCGGAATGGGGATGTGTGATGGGCAGCTTCTGATCTTCTTGTAATTCAGTAAAATCTAAGCTATTTTCCTTACAGAGGCTCTGCCTATTTGTGCTATATCCATGAGGCTCTGTGGTTTAAGTGAAAAGAAAGGTCAGAGTTAAGTGATCTTGCCTTGTTGTTCATCTTGAACCTTGCTGAATACATGAGTAAATGCAAGAAGAGAACAAATCTCATGGTCAGTGAAACATCCATCCAGGGAAAAAGAAAAAGAAGGAAAGATACTTGTGGTCCACTTTGGTGTTAGAAATAATCTTGCTTGACTTTAAACATGTGCAGAGCTGCCACATGAGCCAGCCAGGCAAGGCTCTCCTTGCAGTCAGTGCAGAGAAACAAGGGCACTCTTTACATAACGATTCATCTGCCTTCTCTTTGATTCTGCCTTAGGATGACTCTGTGCCCAGGAGACACCAGTTCCTCTCCAGTGACTGTAAATGGAGCCTCAGGCAACTCACTTGGAAATACAAGTCTGTGTTTGATCAGATAAAACCTCCTTGCTCTATCAAAGCCCTCCAGCTGTGCCTCATACACAGCCCAGTACCTGCAGCAGGTCAGGCAACACTGAGGCAAAGACAGCAAATTAAAGCCTAAATTTGGTGTTTAAAATTTGACAGTGCTCCAAAATTTCTGTCCTGACTTCAGTAAGAGGAGAGTCCCTCAGTGAAGATCATAATTTCCCCACACACAGTTGTTACAAACCAGATGTAGTGTGTGCCTGGAGGTGTGATGACTTTTATCTGAACATGCGACCCACTGTCCTCTGCCCAAAAAGGATTTGCTGTTCACCAACCAGGCCACCTCTTTGTGTCTTTGACCTGAGGAGAATCACAGGTTTTGCACCCTCAAAGTTTGTGTTGGATGGGTGTTGAGCAGCTTGGATGCCAGGGGGCATCACCAGGGCCATCCACTGAAACAGGGAGGGCACAGTGGGGCCTGCGATGCCCAGACCTTCGTGGACAGAATATAAAGGTGGCCCCCACAAAGAGTTGTTTCACAAGGAATGAGAGCAGGCAGAACCCTTCTCTTGACATTCCTGCTGCAAATTTAAGGGCAGTTGGGTTACTTTGCCCAGTGTGGTGTTCAGCAAAAGGAGATCTGAGTGTCTGTGGTGCGTTGGACTGTGCTGAGTGTGGTACATGTGAACGTTGTATGGTAAAGAAAGGGAAAACAAGTGTAAACTGAATGAGTCATTAAGCTAATGAAATCACTGTCATAATGAGCCCAATCAATCCACTAAATGTGGCATCTGTTAAGTCAATGTAAGTGTAACAGAGACCTGGAGGGGTAATTTAATTCTCTGTCTGTTTGAGTCTTAGCTGCAGAAAAGAGGAAAAAATACAGAAGTAAGGCTTGAATGAGCTTTCACAATTCTTTTGCATTTGTAGGTGTGTTTTCATGCCTCTGTTTTTAATTCCTGGCTTGCAGTTGTCAGGCTTTTGTGAGGTTGTGGGTCCCTTCCAGAGTTTACTTATTGGTGCAGTGAGGTGGGCAACTTCTTCCCTTCTTTCTTTCTTGTTGCACTTATTTTCCCATCCTTTTGTCAGAAATTAAGAGGGAAGTAGATACTCCTTCTATCTGAACCCAGATTTCATTTGAAGCTGTAAAGGATAAAAGCCACAGAGATTCTTTCACTTCATTTTTTTGGTAATAATATTGCTTTAGTTTCATTAGTTGATGCCCCCTAACCCTAGACTTTGTCATACTGGAGCTTTATGGGGGAAATAATCTGTAAAGTTTGAAATACTTAAATATGTGGCCTGACTGCTTTTGAGTTTGCCTCAGGAAGTACCACCGGAGTCAGCTTCGATGGAATTTCTCCCAAGTTTTCCTTAGTGTGCAGATATGGATAAGGTGTGTTGAAACAGTGTGTGAAAAATCCACTGCTGAATTTGCAAAGAATCAGTTCCTCTTAATCAACACAGAAGAAGCTGTGTTATGTTCTTGCACTATTCTGGGCATAACACCCATTGTTGCAAAGACAGGAACGTGGTAGGAAAGGGAAGAACATGGAGATAAGGTGGAAGAACGGCAAAAACTGCAATTTCAGGAGAATATTCTCCCAGGCTTTTTATAAGCTTGCTTTTGTTAAAGAAATTCCCTGGAGGCAAGCAAAAATTTCCCGTTTTGCTGAGCACTTCAAGTGGAAATTGCTTGAATTTCTTTTGCTGTACAGATGTCTCAACGTGCAATGGCCAAGATAAGTTTTGCTTTTGAACTTGAAAAAAACCCAACCCCAAGCATTTCTTTGGGGCAGAAAGACTGTTAATAAGCAAGGGGAACAAAGGGAAAGAGTTGTTTGAGATTTTCCAGACTGGTTTTTTTTTTCTGTTAAACGCTGTTTTACATCTTGTCTAAGTGCTGTAGATCAGACTCAGGCTGCTGTCTGGGCATTCCTCATAGCACAGGTGCACAGGGCAGGAATGGGAAAGGTGAGAGTGATCCTTTGGAAGGGGTAAGGCAGCTGGCAAAAATGCCCACAGCCTAAGCTCCCCCACCGTGCCTTAGCCAGATACTAGGCTTGATATTAGGAGCAAGGAATATCCTTTAGAAACCAAGTGAAACCCAGCATTTCTTTGGAGATGGATGGGAGCTGACAGGTACATCTGGGAATCTGGCCAGCACTCTTAGAGGCCTAAATAGGAGCAGTGTTCTTTGGAAAATCTGGTTTTAACTTAGACCGAGATGATGCTTTGCCATTTCCACTCCATTTCTCGCCTTGGCTGAGCCTGTTACAGACTCTATAGAAGAGCAGATACATAAACATGGCTTGGATGCGTGCTTTTAACTGACAGGGGTATAACAGCAGTGTTACCACTCTGAGAGCTGCTGCAATAGCCCTGCACATCCTCCTTTTCCAGCAGGAAATTCCCTCTCTTACTCAGAGCACGGATATTGTGCGACAGGTAAGGCGTGAAGCTGAATGCCAGGGGTGTTTGATTGCAAGGAGAGGGACTTTTCAGGGAGCTATCTGGGTTGGATTTGACCTCTTTTCCTTCAAAACCAGATGTGTACTGTGATAATCTTGATGGTCCTCACTGGTCGGGTGTAGGATAACAAACAGCACATCCTGAGCACCACGGTGCCATTTCATACCAGGGATGGACACGGTGGGCAGAGTCCTGTTTGTTCAGCTATCACAGCTTCCTACAGTGCCAGTGGTTCCCAAAAAGCCTGTTCTTTTAATGGGAAGAGAGAGAGAATCACTCCCACGTCCCTGAGCCCTTCAGGCTGTGCCTGGTCCCCCCTCGAGGCTCCATCGCCTCTGAGGCTCCGTCACCGGCAGGATGGTTCCAATGCCAGGATGGTCCCAACACCAGGACGGCTCCAGCTCAGTGCTCTGCCTCTCTCCCTGTGCAGGATTCACCTGGAGGACCTCAGCCAGAGTGTGCTGCTCCACATGACTGAGAAGCTGGGCTACAAGAACAGCGATGTCATCAACACCGTGCTCTCCAACAGGGCCAGCCACACGCTCGCCATCTACTTCCTGCTCAATAAGAAGCTGGAGCGTTACCTGGCCAGCCTGAGGGTGAGCCCTGCTTCTTTCTGGTTCTCTGCACGAGTGGCTGAGCAGGAGGGAAAAAAGGCCTGAAAGTTTCCCAGCTTGCTGGGAAACCCAAGGCTTCACCCGAGTTTTGGGTTGGGGGTTTTTTTTCCTAATTTTGTAGCACGAAGGGGAAGTATTCCCCAAATTATTAACATTATTCCAAGTAAAAATTCCCCAGGTTGCAAAGGTAATTGCTGATAGGCTTTGTGTCTCCCTGTTTCCATAGGAGATCCCCTCCTGCAGGGCAGTTACCCTGCAGGAAGCAAACTGTTGCCATGCAGAGCCTTATGTGTCCATTGTGATTCTGTGATTGTGATGTGCTGTGTCCCTGTGTCGACATAGTTCTGTTGCTTGAGATATCAATAACACCATGTAACTTGATTCAGGAGATCAAGAGAAAGCTTAAGAGCTTATTAAGGTTTTATTTAGCTTTTAAGTGAAAACTTAGCTGAAAGTTTGATGTGATCTGACCTCCTGCTGACCTTCCTGGCCCCTGAGTGTGTCCTGGGCCTTCCAAATTGGCAACAGCTTCTTAATTTTTTATCTTTCTCAGTTTTTTTCACGAGAATGTTTTCTTGATGATGCCACCAGGGGCATTTAAAATGTAGTGGACCAAAATCATCAGCTCTGTAAGTTGATGCTCCTCCACTGAATGCCAAGAGTGGATACAGTACATTAAGCAATAATTGAACATTAATTTTCCCTAATTGTCCCACATATTTTACTTTTCTGTGCTTTTCTCTCCACAGAAGGCCGAAGGCCAGGACAGTGTTTTCCACAAGAACCAGCTCTACCAGATAGAAAAATACAAGGCAAATAAAGACTCCTATGAGGTAAAGCTCACCAAAGCTCGTTAAAGTGCTTTGAAAACATATTGAATTTGAGGATCTTTGGTGATTGTGATCAAGGTGATGGATTTGTGGACCTGTGGAGAAAAATAAAGACCCGTAGTCATTCCTGTGCAGGACAAATAATTCCCTCAATTCTTTTTCAAAGGAACAAGTATCAACCCCCTAGAGTAGAAGTGTAAAGGTGACTTTGAATTTTTTTGAAGAAATTAAAAGGTTTTAAGGCTCTGTTCAGCAAAATAATGTGAACTTAATCATAGGGCTCCATAGTTTCATTCTGAGGTGCAAGTTGCTGGTGTTATAACATCAAAACTGAGTGTTCTTGAGACTCTCCTTGAGTCTTTAGACTTTGGTGGTGTAGGGCAGAGAACTCTGGTCTCCAGCCTTTCTGCCTGTGAGTAGAGAAGGTATTTTTTATTAAACCATGGCTGGATTTTTCTTCCTTGGCTGATTCTTTGCCAAGCACTAAAATTACAAGAGTAATCTGAGCTGTGCAAGTCTTCCCTGCCAACACAAAGAGCAGCATTCTTGAGGAGTCTGCCTGCTTCAAAAGCTGCTCCTCAGCTCTGGATTGATGATCTAATTGCAGGGGCAGATTTGTGTCGTGGTTGGGTTTGTTTGTCACAAAGACTTCTTGCAAGACAAGCTGAGCTGCAAGCCATGGAAATAGCAGGGCAAAGTACTTACTCTTTTCTTACATCAATCAAAACCATCTTATTTAAAATGTATCAGTAGTGGGTAGACTCAATGAATATAATATTTCACAATGCTCTGACAGCTTATTCAAGCTGTTGCAGAGCAGCCTTTCCCTGGAAACACAAGCAGGTACTGGGATGCTGCATGGAGCATCTCGCTGCTCCCTGGGCCGGCTTCCTCCTGCTGCTGGTGCCACTCCTCTGTGCCAGGGATGGCTATGCCAGCCATCCAGGAATGAGCTCACAGCTTCTGTGCACCGACCCTGTACCGGGGAGGCTGCAGCAGGGCCTGCCTGGAGCTGATGTTTGAGTTCCCTAAGGATAACTGGAAACCAATGGCAGTGCTGGTATTTGGCCCCAGTTTGGTTTGTGGGCATGCTTAGGGATAAAACTCCTTCCAAAGCCTCTCCTGCACTCAGAGTTACTCCCAGGGTAGCTATTTAGAGGCTGAGGGGGTGTCATGTCTTTCTTGAAATAGTCACCAGGATGTACTCACAGTGCAGACACTGCAATAATAATAACACAGTCTGTTCTCTTTCTGCATGGGCACAGCTGAGGATAGAAGTGTTCAGGGCCAGCTTGGACAGGGCTTGGAGCAACCTGGTCTAGTGGAAGGTGTCCCTTCCCATGGCAGGGGGTGGCACTGGATGATCTTTAAGATCCCTTCCAACCCAAACCAGTTATTGTACAATGTTTTCTGTTGCTTCAGCTGTATTCAAGGGGATTATGTGATTCTTACTGTACCAGGACAGGTGGAGCTGCACAGGGAGGGGAATGCAGATGCTGGGGTGCTACTGCCATTTGTATCTAAGGTAGAAACTCCCCTAGAATGCCTTCATGTGGGTGGGAACACAGCCCTGGCAGTGCCCAGCTCATGCCACTGGGATCAGTGGGTGCCACCGGCACTCAGGGGCAGGGGATTTGTAAGCTCAGGAAGTTTCATGAGCTGGAGAGAGTCCCTTGATCCCTCCCTGCCATTGCCAGAGTGGGAACAGGGAGGCACTGGTCCCCTGGCAGGCACTGCACAAGAGCAGAGCTGTGTGTTGCCATGGGAATAGCAGGGAGAGGGATGGGAGGGATGGTCAGCAGCGGCTCCAGCTGAGGACTCTTTCATCCACCTCACTCCCGGGGTGTGAAATAAGGACTTGGCCTCAGGCAGGGGCTGCCAGCAGCTGGGGCAGGCAGGGGGCATGGGGGCCTTGGTCATGCCAAGCCCCTGTTCTCCATTAGGGTTTTCTTGGGGTGCTGGTTGCTGCTGGCAGTGCCAAGGAACCAGGCTGTTGCAGGCTGGTTTCACTGGAGCGCTCAGCATGGACAGGGAGGAGGGAGGCAGGCACGAGTCTGTGTCTCTCTCTCCATCTCTCTTTTAGTAGGAGGGGTCTCAGAGGATGAGTGGCTGTCTTTCCAGAGCACCCAGGGGAGCAGGCAGGGGGTACCTGCCTCCCCCAGGGCAGCTGGGGGGCTCAGACCCAGGGAATGTGCAGTTTTTAGGAGCTTGTGTCACTGCCCTATCACCATTTCAGACATGGCCAAGGCAAACACCCTTTATCTGTCTTTCAAATCCGTTGCTGGGACTAAGGGTAGGTTTGAGGGTCGAGGTCAGGACAGGAAATAGCAGAGGATGATGTAATTCCCAACCTATCAAGTATAAAGTACCGGTACAAGTCCTGCATTGTGGGGCAGCACGACATGGCCAGGCAAACTTTTGTAACTCCCCCGAATGAAATCTTCCTTCCCTTTTAAAATAGAATAGTGTGTGGCACTTTGGGAGTTTGGGATTCGGTCATTTCCCCTCTCACAACCTTGGTCATTAAGGAGCAACGTTAATAGTTTTAAAAACACTTCCAAGACCATTTGCAGTGTTCATCTAGCGTGAACTAATTAACTGCTAACACCGGATATGTGAGTTTTCTTTGCTGTGGGTGCTTTAATTGTGTGGGGTGGCTGAGAAAACACACCAGCAGGGTGAAGGCCACTGACTATATTGTGGCAGGAGGTTATTCACACAGCAATATTATTATTATTAATATTAATATCATCATCATCATTGCTGTTGCTACTCCTTTATCCTCATCAGGAGTGACTGTGCAATGCTGGGCCTGATCCAACACTGTGTTGCTCCAAGCACAGCGTGGCCAGGCAGGAATAAATGCTTGGTGCCAGAGGTGTTTACAGCCTCTAAAGGCACCAAAGGCATCGGGTGGATGAAGGTGTCATGCAGAGTGACAACAGTTCTGTGATGTGCTCATAGCTGTGTAGGGGTCAGCCAGCTTTAGCTTTAGCTGGCCAAAGGGAAGGGAACTGGAGGAGGTAAAGGATGGAAACACATAACTGGGGGAAGGAACTTTCCTGCATTTTTTAAAAAAAACTTGCACTCACAGTGACTTTTTAATAAGACGCAGCAAAACATGTTGCTTAAATGAGAATTATGACCACAGGAAAAAACCCAAACCAACCCAAACAAAAGCCTCTCTTCTTTGAGAGAGACGTCTCAAACCACACCACACTGCTCTGTCCCAGAAAGGCAAGAGATCCTTGAAGCTTTTCAGGGGTAGCAAAATAAAGCCACAAATTTGATGCCTGATTTTTTGGACGTGAAATAAGACTTTTGGCTCCCCCAGAAATCAGTGGCAGATAAGGGGTGTTGTGCTGAATCCAGTGATGGAAAGAAGAGGCAGTGAATTTTCACTGTAAAACTGTGCTTTGAAAATTGGATTCCTCTTCAGAGTCCTACTCCCAGGTTCTGTTTTTCCTCTGTCATGACTGGAGATCAAACCTATCTAGGATATGTGCTCTTGCAGTCCCACCTTCAGCTCTTCTCCTTCATGATTAGGAGTTAGGGCTCAGGGAAGGCTTGGGCCAGGAATTTTCTCCCCCTTCATGTCTTGTGCAGTTGCAGAGATGCTGTAAAATCAAGGGCCATATTCCTCCAGATCTTGTCTGGACAGAAAATAAATTATTTAAAGAGTTTAAACTTATTTAAAGCTCAGCAGCTCACCTTTTTAAATGTCAGAGGAAGTGGAATAAGGAGAAATCAAAGACCTTTTTTGGTGCTTAAATAGGGTATTTCAGATATGGAGGAGCACACACCTGTATCTGCTTCCTCCAGTGAGGACAAATGTCCTCTGAAGAGAAAACTTCCCTTTTCCTTTAATTTTCCAAAGCTGTCTTTCTCACTGCCCGGATGTCAGAGCAGATGGGAGCCACGAAATCGTGTCAGAGAAAAATGAGACGTGGAAGATTTAGTTATTCTGAGTAGTCAGGATAAGTTCCTTGTAAATGTGAAGTTCTTAATCCAGCTTGGGTAAGCGGAGTGCTTGTGCCTCACTGAACCTTCCCTTGAGTAAACCCAACTGTTCTTGTTTGTTTTACAACTTAAAGGACAAAAAACCCAAAGAACAAGAAAAGAAAGGGGAGATTCTTCACCATCAGCCCCCAAAGAAAACTGAGAATAGTCCAGTTTCATATAGACAGCCTTCTTCCTGTCTTGTCTCACAGATCCAGAACACCAAGGCTCTGCTGAAGGACCGGAAAGGCGCCAAGGCCGGGGCTCCCGAGAAAGGTCGGTGGCAGAAACGCCTGTGGTTCATCCCTGTGAGCATGTTAATGAGTGTTAATGAGTGTTAATGAGCCTGTCCTGTGTGTGTTGTGTGTTTGTGAGTAAAAATGGGCTTGCACTGCTGTCAGCTCAGGAGCTGGTCTGGGAAAGGACTGGATAACGTTGTCAAACATGGAGCAAAACGTCCTGAACAGTGCTCAGCAGTCATGAGCCCTCACTTTTGCTTCTCCTCGTGTTTGACAGAGTTCCTGCAGTGCTTTAAAAAAAGCTTTCTTTTTTACACCAAATCATCTGCACTCACACTGATGTTTTGAAAGCATCAACACCCACCCCAGATCACTGACAAACCAGAGCTGGTAGACAAGCTTCTTCCTACCAGAGAATGTGTTTTCCTCAGAGGGGGCTGAGGAGCAGCACGGGAGAATCCCTGACCCTGAGGATGTGCCAGTAGCAATGGCATCCCTGGGAGAAGCAGTGGGCAGCAGCTGATGATGGAGAAAGGGGAAAGGCAGGTGGGACTGGCAAGCTCAGCACATTTCAGGCAGCAAAAGGAGGGGAAAAAACATGAGCAGGGAAAGGAAAAAACGTGACAGCCAGAGGAGACCATTAATCACACAGGGTGGGAGGCATGGGTGAGAGCTCCTGGCAAGAGGAGGTGGGAGAAAGGAGCAGAGGGAAAGGGGAGTGTTGGTAGTGCACACATGGATGGGAGACCTTGAGGAGCAGGAAGGGGATGTGGCTGGTTGTTAGATAAGGAACTAAATAAGGGGTGATCACTACAGAGCAGTGTGGGGAAATAGAGTGATGTAAAGCATTTACTGTGGTGTCAGGGGGTTATTTAGAGTGGTGGCTCATGGTGGTTTCATGCTCGTCCTCATGACTTCATGATTCATCATTTGGTGCTGTCAACCTGAAAAAAAAAAATAGGTCCAAATGGCGTTTTTGTGGCAGCAGAGGCACCTCTGCTGCAAGGTAGCAGGAGTCCAGAGAGCTGGTCAGAAATGGGACATACTTCCTGTGAAAAATGTAAAAAAAAAAAACAAAGCCCATTTTGCTCCCGTTCGTTGTCCCTTTTGGGAGGAAGGCACAGGGGGAAGTCAACTTATTAGGTTTTGTTCCTCTTTAGGTTTCTCCCTGCTTTTTTGATCTGAAACCCGAAAATCATTCAGATCTCAGCTAAAGCATTTCTTTTATAGAAACCATATTTTGACACATCTTAAATGAAGTGGTCAAATAATTTTGACTGGTTTTAGAAAGAGACTGGTCAGATTAACCTTGGTCTGCTTTTGCCAGACAACTCTGAGTGTGAGATTCCATCTTGTTCATCCATTCAGGTCTCAACCCCTGATGAGACCATCCCTTCACAGGAAATACATGTGAGATTTGTGGCTGTGACCTGAGGGCTGGCAGACTTAAATTATTTGAGGTACCTTTTAGGTGGTTTGAGGGAACTCACGGGCAGTGATTAACTTCTGGTTAATTCAATTAGGGGGACCTGGCAATCAGGCTCCTTGGACGGCTTTCCATAAAGGCAGCAAAACGTGCTTGGCATGAGCCAGTGCCAGCATCCTGTAGAAACTGAGCAGATCTTCTCCACAAGCTGCTTTGTTTTACTGGGCCAAATCCTGCAAAGATTGTTCCATTTATTTTTGGTCCTTGCTAGAGGAAGGTTCTTGCTGAAGTCGTTGCAGCAAATCTGTTCCAACTCTAACAGCCTGAATCTGGCCAGTGCAGCTACTCCATATTTACATGTGTGAAACCAAGAGCAGATTCTGTTCCAAAATGCAAGGAAAGACACCAGAGATTAATTCACTGTGTCTCTAGGTATGGCAGTGAATACAGGACACAGATCCAGTAAGAGCCGGGCAAAGTTTTGTGCTAAGAGAGGAAAAACGTGAGGTTTGTCAGGCGTGGCCTTAGAGGATATAATTAATACAAACAGCTGAAGACACCTGTGGTTTTCCTTTTCAAGTCCTTGTCCCACTCAATTTAAGCTCTCCTGCTGCCTTTGAGGGAGGTGGCAGATGAATTTCCCATGGAACAACAGCATAAGTATCGAGTGAGGGTCGGGGACGTGGGTTCTGAGTGTGTCCCTAAGTCAGGCAATGAGGTTCTGAGTGTGTGTCCCCAAGAGCTTGTGGTGGCTGGTGCATGTCAGGCTCCTGTGCAGTGTGCCCCAGGGGATGTGAGACCTGCCTGTCAGGGAAGGCAGTGCCAGTGACTCCAACCCGCTCTCCTGGTTCTCTCTCCGATTGCTTTGCAGACTCCAGCGGGGGAGTGAGCCCTTTCCACGAACCTCTGGCGACCAAGACAGGCTGTGTCACTTCCAGCTCCCTGGAGTACCTCGAGGTCCAGCAGCCGCCCCCCAGGACCCCTCGGCTTCTCAAGAGGCAGGAATCTCCCCCGCAGCAGGAGCCAGCCCGGAGTGGGGGCCGAGCCAAGGACTCCCCCCTCATCCTCAACATTGTGCACTCCTTCGAGTCAGTTGACAGAGAGGACCAAATAGACCAGGTTTCCCCCTCTCACCAGTACAGAATTTTAGGCTCCCCAATGAATTTCCCCTACAAAAGCTCCAGTGAAAGGACACTGTCCCCGCTTTTCCCCCCAGGGAGCACGTCCCCCGTCCACCCCACCCAGGTCTCTTTCACCTACGAGGAAAAAGCGTATCCGGCGAAGGAAGAAGCCGTGTCCCCCACCCAGCTGGTGTCCAACAACCCCCTGGGCAGCCCCAACTGTGTGAAAAGCAGGGGCAGGTTCCCCATGATGGGGATTGGACAGATGCTGAGGAAGAGGAGCCAGACGATGCAGTCGGCCAGCGAGAAGCCGCTGGAGGCCAGGATGCCTCAGCTGCAGCAGATGAGCCCCACCCAGATCTCCTTCAGCGCAGCAGATGCTGTCAGTGGCCAGTGCTAGCCTGACATCTTGGGATTTGCTCTGCTCTGCTCTGGGATTTCACCTTTTTCCACTTTAAACAAGAAGGGAAAGCCACAGGCATGTTACTGTCACTGCGGAACACACCCCAGTGCTCCAGCAGGAAACCAGAGGTTTGCTCGTAAGGAAGGCGTTGTCCTACATATTGAAGTTGAAAGAAAAGGGCTCTGCTCGTGCTGTTAAGAAATATTAGCATTTGGCACCTGACTGTACAGTAACACATGTCCTGAAAGAGCCACGTGAGTGTGTATTTTCACAGCTCTCACCTGGTGTTGCAGCAGGGCTGGTTGGAGGCGCCGAGGGTTTGGTTCCTCAAGGTGATCTGTGTGGTGCCAGGAATGCCAGTCCCGTCCAGGATCTGTGGTAAGACTGTCCCTGCTCCTCCTGCCTGTGGCACTGCTCCAGGCATTGGTCACGGGGTGGGCAGGGGGAGAAACTCCAGGTACTCTGTCCAAAGTCAGCTCGCTGACGAGCACTGCCGAGGAGGTGAAGGTGCTTTGAGCTTGAATGAAGACACAAGTGATCTAAACGTTCAGAAGAAGTGGGAATGTTGGAAGTCAAAGCAGATTTTACTGTTGGTTACATAAAGGAGCTAAAAACAGAGTAATTTTTTTTCCCTGAAAAACCCCACTGATTTAATCACCTCACTCGCAAGAAAGAGGATTATTTAAAAACAAGTGTCATCATGTGGAAATTCACCTCACTGAAGGCCTGTTCCTTTCATATGATGAGTCTGCAAAAAGATGCTTCAAACAGAAATCCAGATTGCAGAAAGGCTGTGTTTGAACAACCCAGCCCACACCTGCAGTAGCCCCTATTACAGCAAGGCAGCTTTAGACACACCTGAAGGCTTCTCTGAGAGACTGCAGTGAATTAAAATGACTAATAAAGGACACATGAACCTGTACCAAGGTTGTTTTATACTCCAGGATTGGTAATGCAGTGGTTACCAAAAATTGGGTGTTGTCATGAGCAGTGAAGATAAACTTTCTTAAGAGACACCATGTCCTTGTGTACTGGTCATGTTTTTCTAAGTAAACAATATATCTGAGAGGTTGGCAACATTTTTTTTTGGTTCTGTTTTTGTCTTCAGCCCCATTTCCTGTAAATTAGAAGGTTTAGCCCTATTTACAACCATATTTTTGCAAACAATTTTGTTGCCCCCTTCGTTTGGTGTCCAGGCAAATGCTGAGAGTGAGAGTTACCCCTCTTTGAGGTGTTTTCCTTCCAGTTTCATGAGTAAGATGTTCAGGGGCTGGGGCAGAGGCAGGGGAGGAGGTCCCCAGCAGATCCCACAGCTGAGCATGTGTTCCTTTTTTGCAGCATAACGCGGGCCTTACACCAAAATCTGCATCCCAAAAGGATGAGAAAGACAGCCCTGAAATAATCATATTCATTTTCACATCAAAAAATGTGGTATTCTGTTTGTACAGAGCACCTGTGCATCCCAGGGGGGTCCATTTTAGCTCTTTTCATTTAGAAATGTCAAAGCATTGTCATTTCCTTTGTGCTAAGAACACGTCTGTGCTGCAAAGGCAGCGAGCAGTGACCACTGAGATCAGGGACCACTGAAATCAGAGACCACTGAAATCCCACCTTTTTTGTGTGCCAGACTCACGTACCTGAACAGATGGCAGATGCTGACTTGAATTGCAAACTCAGGTTTATTTGGAACCCAATAAAAAGGTTGGGGGAGGCAGGAAAGAGACCTGTATTTTTTGTGAAGACCCAGTAAATATGTGTATGAATCAGAATGAAAGCAAATGTTAAATCTTTTATTATATTTATAGAGAATATATGAGTACTACACTGCTAAAACATAACCATGTATCCAGCATAGACAGTAGTTCTGTACAGTCCAACTGCAGTGACCACAGAAGGGACTTCCTGAAATGCCATGGTGGAAATTCCAGGGGGAAAAAACTGTATTTGGTATCATTATTAAATACATGTACTTTTTGGACAAGATTGCCATGGACTGCTGACTCTGTTTGCCAGGTCACTGTGTAAAAAAGGATAATCTCAGCACAAAAAACCTCCAGGCCAGGTTGGACGGGGCTTGGAGCAACCTGGTGTAGTGGAAGGTGTCCCTGCCCATGGCAGGAGGGTGGAAACTGGAGCTTTAAGGTCCCTTCCAACCCCAATCATGTGTGATTCCATGAAAACAAGCAGCAGAAGGGTGAGGTGAGGAGAGGATTGGCAGCACCTGTCCCTTCACCCATCAAGGTGTATCCTTTGCACCTAGCTGCAGCTTGTGCAGCCACTCCGGGCATTATCCAACCTCTGTGACCAGTGGAGGCTGGTAGGAATGTCCAGCTCTTCCTGCCTTGAAGCAGAGATCCAAAAGGATGGCACTGAATTGCTCCTGAGTGCTGCCTCGCTGTGTCCAGAGGGGAGGGAGCGAAGCTGTTCCTGTAAGTACCTTTTTTCCTCCTCCTGCCTTTGTGCAAATCTGTTTCCAGAACGACTGATCCAGAGACCTCCACAATCAGCTGAGCTCTTTTTGTGGTGTTTGCCAGAGGTTTGGCACCGAGCCCATAACAGACCTGTTTGACAGAGCTGAAAATACAGCTTTACACTTCAGACTGTGCATCAGGGAAGGAGCAGTGCTGAGCTTTGGGTGCGAGAGGGAAGCACCTCTGAGGGGCCTCTCTGAGTGCAGAACCCAGTGGAGTTAATGGAGCAGCTGTGAAACACTTAGAAGAGGGTTTTGCAAACTAACTGATGGCTGGGCAGCAGTTCAGGATCTGTAGTGGTAGAAGTGTTTTTGTTCAAGCTCTTCTGCCTGGAAAAACAGGTGTTGAATTTATTCAGGGAGAAGGAACAGAAATCAGCATCTGTTCCTAAAGGTGTTGGTCTTTGTGTCTTTGTACTTCTCCTGTAAATGGGCTGCTGAGTGTTAAAATTCCTGAGCATAGAGGTTTACAAATCCTAAAAGTAAATAACAATTACTTTCTTGCTTTTGCACTTGACATCACTTGATCTTTGCAATAAAATCCCTTGGTGTGCAGCTGGAAACAGGCTGGGTCGGGTTTGCAGGAGACTTTTCAGTCCCCAGTGCACCAGGAAAATGGTTTGTCAGCAAGTCCCCGGAAAAATGGGATGGAGAAAAACCTCCATCCCAAGGGGAACCTGGCCCTCTATTTGCTCCTTTGTAATGCAGCTTTAAACTTCGCTGTTTGAAGCACCCCAAGCTCATTATGTGCTGTGCTTATCACAAAGCGAGCAGGAACTTCAGGGATGTTATTGCTGTGTGCAGGAGTTTGGGTTTTCCCTGGCTTTTCCCTGGTTTTTTAATCCTCCGCGGCCAAAAATGGACAATTTTCTCTTTTGTATCCCAGCCCCACATCGGTGTGGGGCGTGTTTGCATTGCCTTAACTGCCTCTCTCAGAGATGGCTTGATGGTGTTTGTATGAGGGGGGTGAAAACATCCAGAGTCTTTTCAATATTTAATCTCAAAAGAAGCCCGGAATATGATGCTTTTTTTCTGTTGCTGAGGTACAGGCAATTAGCTGTTGTCAGGATCAAAGGGCATCAGGGTAGAGCCTGGAGTGGGATTTGGAGTTTTGTGGAGCATCTTGCCTGCTGATCCCAGGGCACTCAAAGCCCAATAGAGGAGAAATGAGATGTTTATTGATTAAGGGTGAGGTTCTACTCTTGTTTTAAATTTTTGGTTATTATCTAAGAACAGAATTACGGCATTTTTGACGTACGGATCATAAATATATTTATTAATGTTTGTATTAGTAGCACTCTTCTTCCTTTACCTGTAGAGATCCTCCAGTTCCTTGTGTCTCCTACAACCAGAAAGGACAGGCTCAATCTAAAACAAAGAAAGGTCGCCAGAGGCTTTATTTCCAAATAGCTTCCCTCTTTCTGTTCCTCTGAAGGATGGAATGTTGTCCTGTGCTTGCAGCATAGGGACAGCTGTGGGACAAAAATGGGGTTTTTCCCTCCCATCTCTGCCTGCCCCGGACAGCAGCAGCACGGCAGGAACCGTCCCAGCAAAGACAACCGGGCTCGGCTTTCCCCGAGGGTCCCCACCGTGATTATGAACTCAGGCAAACGAAACCCGCGGGAAGACAAGGGGTAGGGGAGGGGCAGCTCTCCCACAGCCGGAGCCTCCCAAAACCAAGGCTGTGCCTGGACCACCCATCCCTTTCTTCTTGCGCCCGCCACCCTCCCCCAGCTCTGCTTGACCTGGTTCTGCCCTCTCCCACCCCGGGGCTGGTTTTTGCAACACTTCACGAGCAGGGACTGAGCTGGAAAATAAGTTACTTATTTGCCAGGCTGGTTTTCAGCTCCCCTGAGCCCCCCACGCGTTTTCCTGCGTCAGGGAGGGGACGGGAACAGCACAGATGGGGTGGGACTGCCAGTCCCCCCGCCAGTTCCAGGTTCCGCAGAACTGCACCCCCAGGTGCCTGTGGACAGGTATTTTAGTGTATTTGTTCTATCAAGAAGTTACTGGAAAATGGAAGGGGGCAGTTATTCCGGGGCTGTGCCAGCTGCCTTTACTGTCCATCTGCAGAAACGGGCAAAGCAGAGCCCCGGAACAGAGCAAGTTGTCCTGTGCTTTGCAAGGACAATGTGTTGCCACGTCCCTTTTACAGCCTTGCATTTCCATATTTCACCCACGGATGCGCCTGGATGTGACCCCCCTGTCCTTTCCCAGTGACTGGGGTGGCTCAGGGTGCAGTTGTTCTGCTGCTGTTTCCCAGCGTGCCTGGTGGGGATTCAGCTCCTCCAAGGCTCCTGAATGCACGGGGTGTTGGATGCATAAATCCGTGCACTCCTTGGCCACAGCTGTCATCCCCCCTCTCCTCCCGGTCCGATGAGGGGGCAGGGATGGGGCAGGGATGTGTGAATTTGAGGAGCCGCCAGTGCTTTAGAGCAGTTTGATCTGGCAAATCCCGTGGATGCTCCGAATTTTCTTCTTCTCAGAGCTGTGCTCTCTTTTCCAAGCAGAAAAGATGACACATTTAGGTCTGCTCTGCAGAAGGAAGCTTTTAGCTGCCTACAGCTGAGTGCAGTCCCCCCTTTGCCTGCGCTGAGGCACCAGGAAAGGACTTGCATGGCTAAGATACGTGCCAGTCTCAGCTCCAAGACGTGTTCCTGCAGGACTTGGCATCTGACCCCTGCACCATCCTGCTGGGTAGATCCAGGAGAGATGCTTGTGCTCCATCCTGTGAGTGAGGAGCTGGGCTGGCAGATGGCCTGGGGCTGGGACTAGAGCACGTAACACACTTACCCTGTCTTTAAGTGTCAGCAGAATGCTCCCTTCCCCGCCCCCAACCCAGGTTTTTTTCCTGGGTTGTGATCCCACATTTCATTCCTGACTGTGCCAGGGCTGGGAAGGATGTGCTGCTCCCACAGACCTGCCTTGGGACCCTGCAGACTTGCAGCTCCCTCTGATTTCCCTGGCTTTGAGCTCAGCCCTGAGCCAGGGCTTTACACAGAGTACAGGGTTTTCTGTGATGTTAAACCCCTCCATTAAGGGAAGGACAGGAGACTCTTCAAACAGTCCAAATCCCACCATTCCTCTGACAAACCAGTCCTGACTCCATCTGTCTCTGCCCGTGACAGGGGCTTGATCCAGTCATAGGGATTCTTCTGCTTCAGGAATTTCCCCCTAAGCACCTGGCCTGCACACTCAGTGTCAGTCCAGAGGGAAAAACCTCCCTTTGCCCTCAGGCACTGCACACCAGTGTGGAAAAACACTCCTTCCAAAAAAAAACATCTTATGAGCCTGATTTAAGGATGGCCAAACATTACAGGGAAGAAAGGATGTCATGGAACAACTATCCTCCACTTTTCCTCTCTTTGCAGAGGGGAGCCTAATGCTGTGTGCCCAGGCAGCTGCTTCTCTCCCCAGCCCATCCTTCCCTCGGGATATTTTCTCCTGCTTGA